AGCACCACGCAGCTACTTCTACTCTCTAAATCTTTGAAATGCTACTGCACTAACTTTTAGCCCAGATGCTGGGCCACTGAACACCACAGTCTGATGTCCTTCACGGATGTCACCTTTTATGTTCCAAAAAATCCAGCAGCATAATTACCAGACAACAAGCAGCGCTGCTCTAAGCAATAGTAAACAATCCAGGCACACAATACTGAGGCACATAGTCTCAAGATGTGGATCAATAGCTCCTCACACATGAAAAAAGAGGAATCAAGTGAAGACAGAGGGTTTTGCTGTGCACTGTCCTCTCATGCCTACAACTCTCTCCAACACTGGTTCTCAGCACTGAAACCCTCATCAAAGGAGTACCAAAATCCCTCCAGAAGCTTCACTTTTCTTCCAGAAGACCAGTGGTTATCCAAGATGCTGGCAACTCAAGGGTAAATCCTCTGATATACATTAAAAATAACTTTTTTGTTGGGCTTTTATTTATCTAGTTGAATTCCCTAATCCATTTCACCACTGAGATATAAAAGAGGAGGGCCAACACTGGGGACAAAATGCATCAGCCAGGACTGGAGCCAGACCACTTCTTTCAGCAACATCCCTGGTTTAATAAAACGGTGAACCTACAGAAACAGCCCACACCAACAACTTCAAGACAACATGCATTATCCCCGTTTTATACACAACAGGCTGGAACTATTTTCATATTATCTAATTGCAAAGCTCCTATCACCTTCTATAAGAGCATAGCTGGATCAAATGTTGACAGTTAAACAAAAACAAACAAAACAAACCATGACTTGAACACAAAAACTAGGAAAAAGTCTGCCAAGGCATCATCTTCATATTTATATTATTTCAGTTTTGCTGCAAACAGCAGTATGTAAAAAAACCAGAGACTGTTCCTTTTTTTGAGGAGACATTTCAGGGCAGGCTGCTCTGAAGTTGGTTCTACTTGTCAGTATTTCTTTAAAATTAAAGGGCATGGTCACCCATCAGGGTAAAAAAAGTGTACTTTAAAACACATGCAAAAAAATGAATTCTTTGATACTTTATGGTCAAACATCTGCTAAATGACTACTCTCCTTCAATTATGGGATTCTCAAAGCAGCAATTATATCTATTTTCCTCAAATTTGGGGATATAATCAGCATGACCAGAAATCAACACAGACTCTCTCTCTCTATATATATATGTTTTGCCAATGTTGAAACACTGAAAATGAGACAAGGACATTGACTAAATATGGTAAAACTCCAGTTTTCCAGCTCCCAAAACTGAGTACTTTCTAACATTCAATCCTGTTTGTTTACCTAGGAATCTATTTCTTCAAGGTAATGACCATTTTCAGTCCCTGCTGATTTCTGGAAATCCAGGTCACTCTGTTTCATGTTTCTTTCTCTCCCTGTCACTAAAGTGGGCAGTGAAGTTACTCTCTCCTTGTAAGGAGATCAAAGGAAGGGAAAACTTTCTCTTTGACCCAACACCTTCATATCTTGGAATACAGTTAGAGAGTGAGACTGTTGGGAGTTTTTCCTCTTCAATAGAAAAATCTAACCTTTTCTGTACTCTCTTTTTTTGCTGTGTAAATCAGATGGAATCTGGGAACTTGACATCTTGGCGTATTTCCCAGTCATGAAGAAGAAAGTAGGATTTTATCCACAAGATCACAAGGTACTGAAAAGCCTCCTGCACATCATCCAACTGTTCTGTATCCGAGCCAAAGTGGGCAAATATCATAAAATCAAATAAATGAGGAAAGCTCTGTGCACATCCCAACAGGGTTTCAATGCCATAGGCATGAGTTAGAAGACCTGCAGGAAGAGATACTCCTGCTATCCTGGACTGGCTTGGACTTCACAGCTAAAAATACTGCTACTATTTAGGGCTTCCTGCTCCTGCCCTGAAGGGTTGCAGATTTTTTCCACACTTGCATGGTGTATGCTGAAATGGAAAGTAACCAACCTCAGCATGTGCTCTAGCCATTGGGTCACTCTTAGGAAACACTGGTTTGAATTTCCATGGACAGAAGGGAAAATAAACCCTGAATTTCCAACATCCAAAGTCAAATTTCTAATTGTGTTAGGCTATTGCCATGTTAATGAAGAGCCCTCCAGAGCACTTGCTTGGGGTACTGAGCTTCAGGAGGAGCTCAGAGGGAACCAAAGGCGACCAAGTCCAGCACCAAGTTTTAAATTTCTGCCAATGTCTCCTATTTTCTTAGCTTCATGACTCACAAGCCTGGGGCCAATTCATGGGAAGAGAGGAATACAAGACATAACTGAGAAGATGAAAAAGCAAGAAATCGTCTCCTGTACCTCCTGCTGGGATGGGGGAGTCAGCCCTTCTCATCTTAACTCCATTCCTAGACCTTAAAAGACAAGAAATCCAACCTGTGCTGTCTGTCTGTAAGCAGACATCAGTAGTGTCAAGGAAGGGATCTGTCTGGGATGTACCGAGACAGTGGTTTGTAAACTGAGGGGTCTGAAACATATTCTGATAGGAACACTGACTTTAAACATGCACTAACTATCAAGCTAAAAGCAAACAACTTCAGGAATGATTTGCACAGTCCACTTTAGAGGCAGCTGTGAAGGAACCAAAGAATCATCATAGAGCCCACATCTGAAGGACAGTCTTCAGCTTTTAAAACATCCCTCTGCCAAAGCTCAGCACAGCAGCAGTAGATCTCCCTAGCCTGATCCCATGTAACAAGAGTACTGTAACGACAGGATAATTGGCACCAGGCATCTCATATTGAGTTGCATTATTTTGATTACAAGATGACTTATACTCCTACCACTATGTGGCTAAAACAAGGTGCATCAGAACTGCTGATAATCCTTCACCGAGGGAAATTGTTCAAATATTTCTGATATGATTTAGGGCAGTCTTCTATCCCTTTTTCTTAGGAATAAGGCACTGTGACAATCCTCAGAAGTGATAAGGCAGTGGTTTTAATAGTCTAACTACATATTTTTTATTCCATGCTCGGTATAAGTGAAAGTTTTAGGACAGGCACTTTTCCCAACAGCACACCTTCTGATTCTCTGGCCCGCAGAGGCTGGTGACGAGCAGCTCTTACCAGACATTTCCGTCAGCCAGGAGGATGGACCAGTGATGGGAAGAACAAGAGCCAAGTGCCCACCAGGGACCAGCTACCCCACACAACCTTCTCAAGCACAAAAACCTGTCACAGTTTGCAGAGAGCGAGATGAGACCAGCAGAAATCAGAACAGGCACAAATGGTAGGAGCGTCAGAAGGTAAGTAATTTAATCAAAATTATTCTGCAAAGTGTGAGAAATGGCCCACTCTTTTGTGAAAGATCTCATTGTCATAAAGTCTCCTAGCACCAATCTATTCAGAAACATGGTAGATCTTGGAGGAAAGTGAAACTGTGAAAAAGAATAATGTGGGGGTTTTGAACATTCCTCAGTATAGACCAGCACTGTATAATACATTAATATCTTTCCAGATATAGGATTTTTACAGGTTAAAAGAAGGACATAATTAGCCTCTGTGAGTATTTTTAACATGTAAATTTAGTACATTACTGAAAAAAAAGGCAAACCTAGTAGTAAAACCAGGCAAGTACAAATAACTACAAAACTAATAAAGAGAAGTGAAAAACAGGCTTTTTGGGATGTAAAGATATTTGCCAAAATTAAATTGCAGGTTCTCTTTTCAGGTTGAGCAACACCTGCTAAACATGAAAAAAGACCTTTTAATTTTAGCTTAATTTTTAGGAAGCTTGGAATAGGACTGGAAAGGATACAAAATAGTTGTAGGCTTAAAACTTACTCTAAATTTTCTCCTATCAAAGCACTAAACTGTGCATATATCATGGGGCAAACAGATAGTAATGGTTCTAGTTGCTTTGCATTTTAGGCATATCATTACCTCAATATGACAAAACTATCCCAAGTAAAATTCACAGCAGCAATTTTGCAAACCAAGTATGATTTATTCCAAGCATATCTTAAATTACCCAGTTTTATTTGTTGCATTTTGAAAGGCTATATATTTTTTCTAAACAAAACAGTTTTATATGTTGTTTCATTTCAAACAGAAAGCCCACTATCACAAAAATTTACAATTCATAAAAAAATTATGTGTATCATGTTACCTCTTATTTCCTAAACTAAATTTATGTTCTCATAAAGGAACACAAATGCATTTGAAGTGGTCTAGGAATATGTATATTGCTTTTTATGGAGAGCAATCACAGAAGAAGGTTCTCATCTGGCCTTTAAATAACAATCCTGAAAGCCTCACATCAATTAGTAGAGAATCTTAGACATCACTTTGTTTGTAAGCAATCTAATATTTTGGGGTTTAAAAGACCAGAATCTTGTTAAGTGCAGCTAATGGTTATTCTTGCTCCTGAGTAACATACCACACATTATCATCTAAAAGGCAACACACCGTTCAGTGACAGGTAAGTGACAAAGAGAGCATGTAAACAATGCCAAAAGTAAGTTCTAAGGTGAGCATGAGGCAGGGAAGGGAAGGGAAGGACATACAGATACTGACTGCTTTGTTGAGTGAGGGGCTTGAACTCTTCAAGCTCAGCTCCTTTTCCTGCTGTCTTGTTTTTTACTGGAGTGAAGGGCTGAGCCTGGCAAGACAGGGCACATGAAGAGAAGGAAAAGTCGTGTCAACTTGACACCCCATGGAGAACTTCTTTCCTACCAATCACAATAGAGGACCAGAATCTTTGCAAATGAGGTTCAGCAGTTTTTAAAAAAGGATATAAATTTAATGGAAAGTTCAGGAATCAACTCTAATTTTACAAGTCTGGCTAACCAAACGTATCAATATAAACTGTGTACCAATCACAACTGTGCCATACAGAAAAGTCCCAGGAAAATAGCACCTTGCTTTGCAGAACTGTTACAGAAGAAGAAAATCATAGTTTGACTACTGAGAAGTTATTGGAGGTACAATACAGTTTGTGTTAAAAAGCAAGTCACATGTCCAAAATTCCAAAAGGAAGAGTTACCTTCTGGAGGAGTTGCAATACTGCTCCCAAGTCCCAAAATAGCAATGCTGTGATTCCTTGGTTCCAGCATCACTGCAAACTCTTCTCCTCTTTCCCAGTGTGGTACTTTCACAGGCTCCAGATGCACATTTTCCAGCCCGTCTTTCTTCAGAGCATTGAACATATATTTGATGCCTTCCTCTAAGTTTTTTGAACCACTGAGTCTAGGTCCTATGGTGTCAGCAAAAACTGCTAATCTTTCATAGGATCTGTTCTGAGCCTTTCCATGAACAGCAAGATCAATAATAGCCTTAGCAATATTAGTATAGCCGGCTATCTCATTCTTAATGTCTTCAAATGACTTCAGGGAACTTCCATCTCTTCTCAAAGATTTCCCAGCATATTGGTGTAATAAATTCATGAGAAATATTAAGAATAAGTACTTCATTTTTTTTCCTCTTTCTTCTTTTCCACAGATGGCCTGTTGGAGAGGCAAAAAGGAAAAAAAAAGTAAGTTAAAAAAATCATACACCTATCAGCAATACTTTTTGTTATTTGGATTGGCAAACAGAAATTAAATGAAATTAGTTTATCATGAAAATGCTTTGATCAGAACTAGCAGGAAAGTAAACTCAACTTGAAGACAGAATTATTGAAAGCAAATGAAAAATCTCTGGACACATCTCTGTTGTGGTCTTCAGAAATATCCTTAGAATGCTGCATCTCTTTATATAAACACTTTCTTCAATGAATCAAAACCCAGGGCTGCTCCCATGCAGGAGGAGTTTTGCATTTCCTTTCTGTTACAAGCAGGACTTTTCAGAAGTGCCAAATCAAATGGCTTTACACAAAACATCCAGACAAAAACTTTTCTTAAACCATTCATGAATAAAAGTTCTTCCTGATCTCCATTTTCATAATCAGGCAAGTACTTTCCATTGTACTAAAAAAGATTTAAGATGTAGATCCAATGCCTCCAGTGTCCTGGTTTTGGCTAGAATAGAGATAATTTTCTGCTTCGTAAGTGATACAGTGCTGTGTTTTGGATTCAGCATGAGAACAACACTGATAACACAATGATGTTTTGGTTGTTGCTAAGTAGTGCTTACCCTAAGTCAAGGACTTTCCAGTGTCTCATGCTCTGTGAATGGGGAGCTGCACAAGAAGCTGGGAGGGAGCACAGCCAGGACAACTGACTTACATTGACCAAAGGGATATTCCATACCAAGTTGAGTACACAGACTGGGGGAGTTGACTGGAAGGGGCTGATCTCTTCTCAGGGAAAGGCTGGGCATTGATCAGCAGGTGGTAAGCAATTGCATTGTGCATCACTTGTTTATCTTGGGTTTTATTCATATTTTTATTATTATTATCATCATCATCATCATCATTATTATTAGAGCACTTTACTTCTTTTGATCTACTAAACTGTTCTTATCTGAACCCTAAATTTTTAAACCTGTATTGGCTTGGCACAGCCTGGTTTTTGACAGCAGGGGGGAGCCACAAAGATGTCTCCTGTGGGAAGCTGCTGGAAGCTTCCATGTCCAGCAGAGCAAATCCCCGCTGGCACTGATGATGGACATGCTGCTGGCCAAAACTGAGCTAATGAGAGAGGCTGGTAACACCTCTGTGATGATATACTTAAAAAGAAAATCAAAACCAAGTCACAGGTTTTTTTTCCTAATCAGAGAGGAGAAGGAGGTGAGAACATGTGAGGGAAACAACATGGCAACACCAAGGTCAGTGGAGAAGGAGG